ACATCAGAGAAGAATAGAGCTAGTTTGCAAGAATTGCCACTCTTCCTACACGTCTTCTTGATAAGGTTGCAGTTCTTCTGACCTTCGAATGATTCATGGTCAACATGAGGGAAATCCTGATCTGATCCCATAGAGCCAACCATATCAACAAAAGAAGCCTTCCCAAGGTTTAAAACAGAAGTAGTCGGTGGTTGAAATGAGCAGTAGCCATGGAACAAGGAGTTGAACAGCGGCAAGCTACAGGGGTTGGCCCTGCGAGTAGCTCTCATACGTGTAGGGAGGACAGACACGAGTGCAACAGGAGATGAAGCCGCATGAGACGGAACCGCAGAAGCGCGAGACATAGTGGACAACGAAAGACGAAATAGAGGAACGAAACCTCTTCTTCTTCGAGCGTGAAAGAGCCGCAGACGACGCGCGATGAAGAAGCAGACGCCGCACGACGCAGAAGAAGCACGAAGAAAAGGAGGAAACACGACAAAGAGCAAATCGACGAAAAGATACCAGGTTTCGCCATAGGCGAAACCCTAGCAAATAGGATATAGATAGATTGTGTGGGAGGGCCCAAACAGGGTACCCTGCCCACTCGATGCCACCATATGCAAATGGTTCCAAAATGAGAAAATACGAAAAAATACATGAGAGATTTAAAGAAAATAAAACCAAAAAGTATCAAAATCCAGATTACCGGGTAACTAAAGAGCGACCCGATTTTGCCTTGCCTCTACCTCTAGTTCTAGGGAATGAGCTAGCTAATAAATTGGTGAGATGAGTGCCATTGTCAGTAGTAACCAATGTATCATCCAATAAATTTTCAAGCTTGAGTCTGCCTCCATTCTTCTTCTTCCTCCTGGAATAGACTTGCCATTCCTCTTCCGAGGATTGACTCGCCTGGTCAGTGGATTGGTCTAAAGTGTGTCAAACTTGTGTAGGTTGTTGAATATTAGAAGCAACTACTTGTTGTACAAACTGATCTTTTATCGGATCAGGGGAGCGGGAGCATTCACGTGTGGCATGATATGTAAGTGGACCTTCTTAAAAAACATTAAGTGGTATAAACACATTTGGATCCGTACCTATAGTATGATGTTCTTCATCAGGAACTGCGGTGTTGGCAAGGGGGGATCCATAGGCAAATCCTATCTTGTAAGAACTTCCTTCACAGATTGAGCAGATGTGTCCATAGCAATGGGGTTAGACCCCTCTTTGTTTGCTTGAGCTTTAGCTTTCAAGTTTGGTTGAAGCCTGTGACATTTATCAGGTGTATGCCCAAACATCTTATATGGGTACAATAAAAAAGTTTATGTTCCATGACAATTGGTTGCCAATATCCATTGTGAGTTGTGCCTAACCAGACTTCAGTAATATTAGGTAAGGTAATATCTCTTTCCACAAGTATTCTGGTCAGGTTAAAGGTTGGCATATCTAACTTCATAGGATCTCCAAGAATTGCTCCAATAGAATAAAAAATCTGATGATTAAAGAAATACAACTTGAGACCAGGTAAACTAATCCATAACGGAGCAGTAGGAGACTCATGATTTGGGTCAAAATCCAAAATCAGGAGACCACTTGAGTAACTTCATTGACTTGTCTGTAATGTTGAGATATTTTTTAGAGAAAATCCGAACATAGTATTCAGCTAGGGTTAATTGAATCAACATATGTCTCCCATCCAAAAGTCTCACTTTCCACTTGCCTACAAGTTTGAGACAATAAGAGCGAACTTGAATTTCTCAGTTATAGTTGAAATTTTTGAATCAGAGAAAAATAGTGTTGTTTCTCCACTCTTCCTGCTTATCTTCTTAAGAAAAGGGCAATCGCTCGTATAATCACGACATTCCTTATAGCTTGAGGGGAAGACAATAGTAGATTCCGCAAGATGATGACCAACCACGTGGGCGAAAGAAGCTTTGCCAGGATCAACCGAAGAAGAAGGAAGCGCCATAATGACGATCATTCAACCCGCATATGCAAAAGCCAAAGAAACCAGGCGATCCGATCTGATGCAGCGCGACGACGCTCGTCGGGTCACGAAAACAGGCGCGGGACGGAAGAAAGGCGTGTACTGGTCTAAACAGCAGAAACACAAGCAGCACAGGCGTAGCTCGATCGATCCTACAGCGACCACGATTGGCGCACAGCACGATCACGATCGACCCTACAACATAGGCGCAACACGATCCCGATCCCGATCGGCCCTACAGCTCGACGAAACAGAGGAGTGTACTCCCCTTTTTGTACGAGCGTGGAATGCAGGCAGCAGAGGCTAGGGTTTCGCCGTGAGGCGAAACCCTAATAGAGCCTCGATGAAGGAGACGACTCCGGCCATTATATGATTTACAAATAAAAAATGATATATATATATATATATATATATATGCGCGCGCGCGCGCACACACACACGCGGATCAATAGATAAATACACATATGTTGAAATTTTGGACAATTATTGGAAATATGCTCCGCCAACTCCGCTATTGTATGCAGGGGATTGGACCTGTAATTTCTCATATTTGTTCTAATAATTATGCCCAATTCTTTTTACTTTTTCAAATTTTAGTTATTTATTTATTTAAGTAGTCTAGAAAAATAATGGACCATAGCCTTCCGTTTAATTTTGTGAAGGTCTAATTTAACAAGATTCACCAAGTTCTAATAACTGTTTTTGTTTTTCCTTTTCAACAGATTATTTTGCATCATATTCAGTTTTTCGCATGTTATCAGTAATGTTATTTTTTATTGTTTTAACTCTCCTTAGGCAAATCTTTGTAATTGCCTCTTGCTGTACTCACATCTGGTTATAAAATTTAGCTTTTGATTAAATGATACGTGAAACTGTCAAGTTTGGTACAACTTGAAAGTTAATTTAATACTAAATTATGTAAATTCTTATGAGAAATCTAAACAGAAGAAAAAAATTTAAAATATTCGCATTCTTTATTGTTTTCTTTCTCTTTGCAATAACACTCCTTGATGAATATAATATTCTGTCCACCTCAATGTCTGCATGGTAGAAGTTATTATAACGTAGATGCGGATTCAATTCAAGCTTCTTACAATCCCTTTACCAACTGCACTGGTTGGCGCCTCTCCTTAATGATCTTTAGGCCTTGTTGTTTTTTGATTGTGAGAACTGCAACACTCGGCAGTGTTGATATATTTCAAACAAAAATTCTTCACCTATTGATGTAGTTCATTTGATGTGTCTATCAATGTATTTTCTGATGCTTTTTAATTAGAAAATGAGTGCATTTGAATTATGCTGACAACGTGGAATTACAAGTAAATCATTTTCAGCATTTTAAAATCCTTCTACCCTTAAGTATTTTTCATCTGTTGGCCTTATGTGCTATCTAATGGGTAAATTGATTAAATCTCGCCTTCTTAATCCTTGAAATTGTTGGATGCTATATGAATTTGTTTATAATTTTATTGGCAGTGGAACATTTCACCGGGCTTTTGATGACTTCATTATACTTCCAAAATTTCTTTTTAAATAGTATCTTGAAATGAAATTCTAGTGTTGCTTAGGAAACAAAGATGAATAAAGTTTCATATGATCTTCAGAAAGCATTGTGAACTATAATTTACTGATTAAACCCCAATTTTTTCTCTCTTGCTTCTAGTTGCTTCATGGCATAGAACTATTGTCTCATTTGTACTTCTTCACTCGTATCATATAGCAAGAGACACTTTATTTACTCATAAAAACTGAAGAGGCAAATATTCAGTCCGTTCTCAATAATAAGAAGTTTTTCTCCATTTTCTGGGGTGACATGTCTTATAAATTTGAAACAACAGTAGAGGCATGTAGATCGATAGATCGACAAGATGAATAGTTTCATGAATAGTTTCAAAAAAAAAAACGAGATCTCCAGATCTTTTAGAGAAGCTATTCCTAGACTAATTCCAGCATGTAAACTATCCAATGTTTTCCTTATCTGTTGTTTATTCGAGTTTGATATCGTATTGCTGGGCTTTGCTTCATTTTATCTCATGTTTCCTTATGCTAATTCTGTTACTCAGCTAATAGAACGTTTCAATGGGCGTTTACCGGGTTACATAGGCCATGGAAATGATGTTTTATCATTTGTACATGTAAAAGATTTGGTCTCTGCACATATAGCTGCAATGCATAAAGGTCAGGTTGGTGAAAGGTATCTGCTCACTGGAGAAAATGCTTCTTTAGCGCATGTTTTTGATATTGCTGCAGCCATCACAAAAACAAGCAAGCCGAGAATTCACATTCCTTTGTGGCTGATAGAACTTTATGGCTGGATAACAGTTTTCTTTGCTAGAATGACTGGCAGACTCCCTCTAATCAGTTACCCAGTATGTTTTATTATCTGTATCCTTTATTCCACTATAATTCAATTGAATTATTTATTTATTTTCTTAGTGATCAAAATTATACTTTGATTTTTCATTCTGTATTGGTGTAAAATACTAGACCGTGAGGGTTTTGAAGCATCAATGGGCATATTCATGCCAGAGGGCAAGAGATCAGTTGGGCTATTGTCCTAGAAGCTTGAATGAAGGCATGGCAGAGGTGCTTCCTTGGCTCAGAGGTTTGGGGTTGATAAAATACTAAGTAATGGTGCGTACTATTACATTGCATTACTAGAGTTACAATTTGTTTTGTCAATATTATTCTTTTAGTTCAACTTTTTTTAAGTTTCAGTTTCTTTTCTTACATCAAATTCCATGGTGGCTTTTGTACCGGAGTACTTTTGTTTGCAACAAATCAGAATCCTGAAGACAACGTGAATGGAGTGGGCCATGCTGTATATTGGTAAGTTGAAGTTTTCATAATGAAAATAAAATCAAGTACTTTTATTGCTGTGAAGTATTCATGGGTTAATGTTCTTAAACGAGCTCCGCCTATGTTGGCATAAGCTATAAAAAAAGAGAGGATTTCCTGAAAAATAATATCAGGATAGAATGATATTTGATTAAAATGGAGCTATGAACCCATTAAATTTCTTTTTTTCGGGCTCTTTGATTGATTGAATTGCTGCCTCTCTTGATCATTACAACATGAAATATTCAACTATTATCTCATGCTTTTCTTTCTAAAATTAATAAGAGAAATGCTTTTTAAAATAAATATATTCTCTTTTGTTCTATCTCTCTAAAGCTGTGACCCCATAGCTGTAGATTATAAATTCAAATATGAAAGTTCGAACTAGCTTTGAAAAGCACATATATTAAATGGGACATTTGGGATAACATTTATTTTTAATTTTTAATTTTTTGTTTTATTTATTAACACTGTCATTGCTAGCCCTAAGCTCGGATGTGAAAGTTGGAGGGTTTTGTTAGGTAGTCGACAACCAGCGTAAAACTCATTGAAATAATCATGACAAGAATCATTTTGATCAATGTATAAGTGCTAGGGCATCCCCTGGAAGCGACACACCGTATGATCTGAATACAATGAAAAGTGTGCAAGGGTCACTACACCGGCACTTGTGTGTAGTGTTAAATAAGCAAATGGTTCCCACATTATGGACGAATGCGAGTAAATAAGTTAGTCTATGAAACTAATATTAGGATAGAATCTTGGAATACAGGTACTCTTACTGGTAAATTAATTGAATAAATTGATGTTATGATTCATAGAAAGATAACTATTTTATGTGTTCAAGAAACTAAATGGGTTAGAGAAAAGACTAAGGAGATTGATAATTTAGGTTTTAAACTTTGGTATTCAGGTAAGTGACACTAGAAATGAGGTAGGTGTAATTATAGATAAGAGTTTGAAAGATAATGTTGTAAAAATTAATAGAGTTGGAGATAAAATTATAGCCCTTAAGATTATTATTGATACAAAGATTTTTAATATTATAAGTGCGTATGTTCTTCAAGTAAGTTTAAATATAGGTTCTAAAGATAAATTATGAAATGAGTTAGAAGACTTAATATAAATGATACCCCTTGAAGAAAGAATTTTTTCTGGAGGAGATTTAAATGGACATGTCTGTAGAGTGGCAGAAGATTTTAGAAATATTTATGGTGGCTATGGTTTTAGAATGATTAATTAAGAAGGTAGAGCTATATTCGATTTTGCTTTAGCGTATGATTTTCTTATGCTAAAACTTTATTCAAGAAAAGAGATAAGTTTATTATTACTTGTAAGAATGGATCTAATAAAACACAAATTGATTATTTTCTTATAAGAAGAAGAAATCGTCGAGAATGTAAAGATTGTGAGGTCATTCTAAGTGAGGATTTAAGTACTCAATATCGATTATTAGTTCTAGATTTTAAGATGAAGTGTTGTAAAATAAGTACTACTAGGAATCATCATCGTAGAATTAAATGGACGTATTTAAAAGACAAATAAAATTATTTTTATGAGTAAAATTCAAGATTTTAAAATTTGGGATGTTCAAGAAGAAACAAATTCTATGTAGGATAAAGTAAAAAAAAAATATTAAACTAGTGGCAAAATTTGTACTTGGAGAATCAACAGAAAAAAATTTTATAAATAAAAATAGTTGTGTGAAAACTTAGAGAACAGAGAAAAATATGAAACGACCAGTAGGGATTTTAAGAGAACAATCTGTTTTGCTTTTAGTAATCCTTATATATAGATAGTAAGGTGGGTGAAAAATATATGTATAAACTAGCCAAACAAAGAAACAAAGAGAGAAGAAAAAAAACAAAGAGAGAAGAAAAATAAAGATTTAACTCATGTAAAGTGTATTAAAGATGAAAATCAAAAAGTGTTTTTCTTAGAAAAAAATATTCAAAACAGGTGGGTGAGTTATTTTGATAAATTTTTAATGTAGATTCGGAAAATAGGATTGACCTCAGTGATCTTAATATCGTCAATAATAATAAAATATTTCATTTTAACCATCACATTAGTAAAAAAGAAGTTGAGGAGGCTTTAAAGAAAACCAAGAGTGGAAAGGCTATAGGACTTGATGATATCCCAATTGAAGTGTGGAAATATTTAGGAGATTTGGGAGTTTCTTGGCTTACTAAACTCTTTATTATTATTTTAAAAACTCAAAAGATGCATGAGGCGTGGAGGAAGAGCATTTTGGTCCCCATTTTTAAGAATGAAGGGGATGCACAAGAGTGTGCCAATTATAGAGAAATTAAGTTGATATTTTATACTTTAAAATTATGGGAGAGGTTAATTGTACATAGGTTACGATGTATTACAAAAATTTCTCATAATCAATTTGGATTTATGCTGGGCAGGTCTACTATGGAAGCTATACATTTGTTTAGAGGTTTCATGGAGAAATTCCGAGATAATGAGGAGGATCTACACATGATTTTTATTTATTTAGAAAAAGCTTACGATAAAGTTCCAAGAGATATCCGTTGGAGAGTTCTTGAGAAGAAAGGTGTTGGTATGACTTTTATTCAAGTCATTAAAGATATGTATATTTATATCATTATGAGTGTAAGTGGGTTCTAATTCTTGCACTTGTATATCTTATATTTAAATTGACTAATAGTAATAGAAGGATTCAATCACCTTTTATTATATATTTAGAGCCTAGTTGTTCTTTTAAAGATTATAAATTTTACCAAAGCATAAAATTAATTCTTAAATTTGATAAAGAAGGTAAAGTAGTAAAGAGGAAGGTAAGAGAACCTCCACATTGGCTTCTAATTTAAAATTGGGATAAGCTATTGGTATTTCATAATGCTACTAACATTAAGAATAAAGATCATCAACTCAAGGTCAATGCCGTGGTTGTTTGGGTTTCACAAATCAACTGCAAGTATCTTAAATTACAATAATGTTCAAGACACCATGCTTTTAATGGAGAAAGTGTTTGTAAGCAAATCCTAACTTTATTTTTTGATTAAAAGGGAGAGGATTCTCCACAAGCATTTTCCAAAAAGATAAGGCTTGCGTTATCTTAAGTTAGATCTTGTGTGTTATTGTGTGGAGCTTGATTGTGTCGATCATTTATCAACTCAAAATCCTCAATTTCATCGACCAAGCTTGGTAATAAGTTTGTAGGCAGGTAGGGGGGTTCTGCCCCTTGAATGGGTAATTTCTTTTTCTGATATAACACTTTGATACTGTAACTATAGCACCCAAGTGCTACATCAATAACATTCCGACACCAAGAAAGCAGCGCCATTGCAATACATGAAGGCAATGCCCCAGTGTCCCAATGGAGTGTCACGATACTACATCATGACGCACCAATGCCCTTAGATGGCAGTGGATAGTTATTTCATTTATGGTGATGTTTTTACTAAAAGGGTGTGTTGGATTTAAAATTCTCTTATATACACGAGAGAAGTGTTATTGCTCTATATTGTCTAAAGTGTGGAAAAGCTTGACCATGGTATAGTTATATGATTCTCTTCATTCGCTTCATAGTGTATTTTTTGGAGTGTTTTATCTCATTCTCAATGTTTTCTACAGTAAATCAGGTATTTTCTTTGTTTTTGTTTGTTGCTTCTATTCAAAGCATTGCTTTGGATATGTTTTGCAATTTACATCTCACAATAGTGGTATCAGAGTCAATTCTAAAGTTTTTTGGTTCATGTGGGAGTAATGGCTAATCCTACAAGGTACAAGATTGGAAAATTTTAATGATTTGAATTTTCTTCCTGAAAAATTCAAATTGAAGATTTATTACATCAAAAGATACTGTAATCATTGACTCCCGAAGAATGGGATGTTCTTAATCGAGCAAATGTAGGCTTGATTTACTTCTCATTTATTGCTTTCAACATTATGAATGAAAAACTATTGTTGATCTTGGGGCTGCATTAACAAGAATGTATGAAAAGCCTTTGACTTCAAACAAAGCTTTTTTTAATGAAGAGGTTATTCAATATGCAAAATGGAGGATCATAGTTTAGTGGTTAAACGCTCGAATAACTTTGAATGTCCTTGCTTCATCATAAATCAAACGAATTAGAGGGTTTTGACTCCCGGTATCAGCCGAACGAACTAAGCGGAACAAAACCATGGAACAGGAATGAACACAGAAATAACTCTGAATGTCCATGCTCATTTGAATTGAATGAGTCTGTTGGCAAGGACGAACTATCCATGCAATAAAGAACGAATTTTGAAGCCAACAAAACATCCCAATTTATTCATTTTAAAATCCACATAAACAAGCTATTTATGCAATAAAAAGATTGAATTCAGAATCATTAGAACTTTTAAGCAGAATTTGATTCTTACAACAAGCATCAACATGAATTCTCATAGGGAAGTTTAACTGTGTCTAGGGGTGTAAACGAACCGAACACGAATTAACCAACAAAGTTTGTATTCGTGTTCGGTTCGTTTGAAATTTAGTTTGTTTGAAATAAGCTCGTGTTCGAAATTATTCGTGAAGTCACTGTTCGTCTTCGTTTCTTAACGAACGAGCCGAACACCAACTATTCGCGAACGTCGAGCCAGTTTGACATCACTAATATTAATATATATAAATAATATATTATATAACTTATATAAATTATATATAAATATCTAATATTTATATTAATATATTACTAATATAGTATATTAATATATTATTATTATTACTTTATTATATATTATAATTTATAAAATTTATTTTTTAAAATATCATAATTTTTTTATATATAATTATTTTAAATTATTTTATATTTCGAACAATAACGATTCGAACACGAACGAAAACATCACTGTTCGTGTTTGGTTCGTTTAACTAATCGAACGAAAAAAAATTGTTCACGTTCGTCTTATTTACTTATTGAACGAATCGAACACAAACTCATTGACGAACCAAACATGAACTGTTCGTGAACAATGAGATTTTTTGACAGCCCTAGCTGAGCACTTCTCGCCATAAGAAGATTCCCTTTTAAGTTTCCGAAAAACTGTACATGTACATACATGCCACTCAATTCATTTGTATTTATATATCTAACACCTAAACTTTAATTTGTTACAAATACATACTTACCACTCAATTCATTTGTTTTTATATTTTTAACAACGAATTTTTGATTCTTTACATATATATATATATGGCACACTTCACG